TCAGATGCCAGGTGATATTGTGCTATCAGAAATTCAGGGTCAAACTGAGGTAGACAAAATCCCTTAAAAAAATCATAAAAAACAGTAAACACTTTAAGAGGGTACAAGACAGTATATAAAAAGGTGATAATAAGCCTTCCCCTGCTAACAAAACCTCTAACACTTTTAGCTCTATAAAATAATATTCCACTTGTTAATCCTTTTATTTTCTAGAATCTTTTTGGTCTTATTAGAGGAAGTGCATACCTGAGTCTTTTCAAGTTATTAGATGCTCATGTTTTTATTCAAAGGAGTTTATAAACAAGTAAAGAAGGGTGGGAGAGATACGTGAAGACAAGTTTTCAGTTGTTTTAATAAAAATATAAAGACTTTATTAGCAAAGAAATATAAAATTTCTTGCAAATATCTTTTTTGTATGTGATCAAAGATCAACAAAAAGAGTTTCATTTTATAAATATTGTGAATAATAATTTACTAAAATAGTATATATATATATAAGTAAGATATGAGTTATTCAGAAAGATGTTGTCTGTGTTTGTTGTATATAAAGTAGTAAAAAAATATTATTTATATTACTTATTTATTGAAGTTTTTAATAGCTATAGGTTTTAAGAGAAATAATATAATTATATTTATATTGTTCAATAATCTATTAAACTATTTAAATATTCTATTTAACAAACAGATTAAATAGCTACAACTTGGCAGGTATCACTACACAAATTTGACTCCAACAACTTCAGAACAACTACTGGTCAAACACTTCAGTTCTAATAGATAGACTCCCATTCTGGATTAGGAAAAGGAATAACCTCACAAATAATATCCTGAATATACTCAAATACAAGGAATCATGATAGTATTAACAGAACATACTTAGTATGGAAAACCAGTCAGAAATGAAGGTGAGGCAATTAAAGAACTCATCACAGAGGAATGGTACAATAGGCATAGAACCACCCTCAAAAGGAGAAAGATAATGTTCAAAGACCAACTACTGAATAATAGTAGAACTAGAATCCTATCATGGCAACAAATAATGACAAAATTGGAGAGACAAAGTAGAACATCTGAATAGTATAAAGACTTGAAAGAACTAATCACACAAATGCAATCAGAGTTAAAAGTCAACAGGAAGAAACTATCCACCAAAGGAGACAGTAATCCTTCTATCAACAGTTTCTGCACAATCACTCCTGTTCTTTCTGCTCAACAACAGTCAATGACCAAATAGCTGGTAACGGAAAAAAAAAGAGAAACTATAATAACAAAGAAAAGAAAATAACTAGATAATCAAAGAGTTATCATAAACCACATGATCAGAAACAAAGAGACTTTATCAATGTTTAAGTGCAAAGGATGTCTGTTCAACAATCAAGAACTAAGGAAAAACTACAAGAATTAACAACAATGTATTATGGAGCAACTCCTGATATATTCAATAAACATCAAGATCAAAAAGAGCACAATGGAAATTTTTTCAGGACAACAGACTACAAATATCAGACAACTTCCATTAAACAGACTACAATCATCTTTCCAAGAGATTAAACTCATAATAAGGAAAACTAGCAGGAAGGCTCCATACACACACACACCCAGAATATATCTGAATCCTTATTGATCACCAAAACCCTCATAGAAAAGAAGCTAAAAACCCCAACCAGAATGATTCAAAAGTTGTAACAAATTACAGAAACATTAGTAACAGAGGATAATATCCAATTCTATATAGATGAATCCTTCACAAGATGGTCAACCAAAAGTAGGATGGGAATCAGATGGGTGACCCAAATACAGTCTGGTTAGGAAATCATGACCTTCCAGGCTGAAATACAGGATACACTATCCTTCACCAGAGTGGAATTGACAACAATACTCATAGCAATCAATACAGTCAATCCTATCAAAAGAATCAATATCCTTACAAATAGTCAAGATGCTATCAATGCAATAAGAAAAAGCTCATATCAGAACCAGATCAAGAAACAAAAATTAGAAAACCCAAATGGATTGTTAATCAACACAATTCGAGAAATTATTACAGCACAGCAAATCAAAGTCCAATGGATAAAGATAAAAGGTTACTCAGAAGACAAAGGAAATGAACAAGCAGACAAACTACTGTAAACCACTGCATACAATACCCTCCCTAAAGTAATACCCCCCCTTAAATAATACCCGGTAGTATTCAAGAAAATTGTTACTTAATAAATGATTACTACCCGGGTATATTAAGCTAGAGAGATATGTTAGATGATAATAAGACACTAAATATCCCACCATTTATACTACCCCCCTTCTAGTAGAATACCTCCCAGGTACTAATCAATTTATCATGGAGTAAATTGATTAATACCCAGAGTATTGTATGCAGTGGTTTACGGTAGTAGTCACAATACTCACAGACAATCCTAAGGACATCATAAAAATATAAGAACTCTAGTCCACAAGTAATAATGCAATATTGAGATAGGACCAGTCCTTTGTGGACTTACCCTTCAAAATAATAGGTAAGACCTTGTTAAAGATCAAATGGGTCAGTAAGCGAAGAACACTCAATATAACCAAACATGGCTAACAGGACAGAAAACCAAAGAAATAAACTGGGCACTAACTATGCAGACCCTGATGCTCTCCAAAATCACATCCTTCCAGACAAGCCAAGATAACCACAGGAACAAAACCTTTAGGTGAAAGACATGGTCAAATGAATATTCCATGTTAGTAAATATAAATAAATACAAACTATGAATTTACAAATCATCAATATGTGTAATTTGTGGAAGACAAAAAAAAAGAGATCTACACACATTCATATGTGGATTAAACAAAACAAGGATAATGGAGAAACTATCAAAACTCCTAACACAAGAATGTGTAACAAGAGCCAATGAAAACAAATAGTCGCAGCCCATTTAAAGTACATGGGAATATCTCCTCAAACCAGACACAAGAAAAGAAAATCACAGAACAATAGAACCAATAGACATTATCAAAGGGGTAATCATACACAAGATGATCTAAATAGTAAAGAAAATTATAAGAAATGAAACAGAAGTCAAAGCCATAGTAAAGAAAGCAATGGCACAACTGTGACAAGAAAAAAGAAGTACCTGGAAGTTGAGATATGACCTGATATTAGAATAGGAAAAAACACAAGACATATTCAAGAAAATGAAATGAGCACGGAAAAGGAATAACACCAAACCACAAAACAGGAAAATATTCTGAAACAAAGAAATGACAGACAATAAGGAATATCTATTTATAAAACTAACAAATTTTAATATGAGAAATATATTACAGAACAATTTCAATATTAATTCTCTCTTCTATACAAATATCAGTGTTAGTAGAGTCATGACATACTAACATCATCTAAGGTAAACTGTAGTAAGTCACAGGATTCATAAGATAATGAGTTATTAGTTCTTTTCATATCATGAATATATTTTCTTGCAATTTAATTTGTGTACATAAGAAAATATAAATAATTAAATAAAAACTATATGGTATGACTTCATCAGCTTGTTAAAAAAAAAAAAAACTATTTATATATTCTTATTTGATATTATCAGATTTCTACTATAGAATTAAAAAAATTTTTTTAGAGATATTAAAAATTATACTTATAACTTTCTTATTAATTAATTTATTATTAATTTTATTTCATAGTTCATATTCAACTTCATAGATATAATAATAGTAGTTATTATTATATTTTAAGTTATTTTAAGAAAAATATTAAGATTTCATTAACAAAAATGTAAAAAAAACTTTTTACAGACAACTTTTTTAAATGTAATCAGAGGATTAATGAAAATATATTTTTAAATATTTTATATTTATTAAAAAGAAAATTTAAATATTATAAGAAATTTTATGAAATTTAAAATTCAAATACTTTTTTTTCTTATTTATAAATATATTATTATTATTATTTTATTTTTAATCCACAATCAGGTTAATATTACATATCTTTATTGTATATATATTAGATATTTATAAAATATTGTAACTTTCATATACTAACTCATTTGTTGTTGAAAAACTATTTTTTAAATATAACTTATAAAATAATATTTCACTCATTTATTAATTTAGATAAGTTTTTAAATTAGTAAAATTGTTGTCTAAAGGTTATTAATATAAATTATTCTAAATTCTATCAACAATTAAAAATGAAATCATTTGATTCTATGATAAATTCATTTCTTAATAATTTTCATTTAATCATATTCTTTTTTCTTTCTGTGTTTTCTTAAATAAGCTTTTCTAGAGATTCTATAGGTTTCTTATAATCTTGTTTGGTTTGTATATTAAGTTTATATTTAAATCTTCTTATTCTTTTTTTTTTTCAATAATAATCTACTTTTTTTTCCATTATATTATTTTGATACAATGGTTGTTTCAGATCTTTTTTTGAAATCTTTTTGTATTTTTTATAGAGCTTGCTGAGTATATTATGTGTTAATATTAATAAATTTTAAGCTATTCTTTAAAATAATTTTTCAAGAAGATAGTTTTGTCTTCTTTCATATATTCACAAATATTATTGAAGAGACTTCTGTCCGATTGCTAAATCTCATTCAACCATTTATCAGTCTATTCCTCAATTATAGGTTGGATTTTCTTCTTATCTTTATTTCTTTATTAATATAATAATTAAGCTTTTCATTTGCTTTTTGTCATATATCTTTTCTATATTTAATTAATAAAAAAAAAAAAGTTTTGTGTAAATAAAGCCATTTTTATAATTTTAAAGTAATCTTTCATTTATGTATATAAATTTAGAAAACAATTAAAATTTTAAGGTTAAGAAAATTTTTTATCTCTATATCACATGTATAGCATTGACCTCACGCATAAATATAGATTTTATAAAAATTTTGACATGTAATTACGATCGCTATTTATCGAGGGTTGTAATCATAAAACAGAATAAGAGGATTTTCTCGATTTTTTACGTGGTCATGTGATCGACTATCGCGACGCGATTAATGCTTACGCAAAAAAAAAAAAAAAAAAATCTTAACTACTGACTAATGCCTTTACTCCTAAAAAAAAGAGATAATTAAAGGGGAGATAAAAAAGGTAAAGGTAGATGAGTATCGGCTGAAGTAATATATGTGTGAGAAAAAGTATGTTATGTAATACTTGCGTAGGCAAAGGAATCATATGTGATTCCCTCGAATTTCAATCATTCGCCTTTTATGTATGTTGTGTGTATTTGTGGCCGACCCACTGGCGCCGGTTAGTCTGCCACAATGTACATAATAGGACTTCAAGGTAATCTAAAACACGTGTGTGCCATAAAAATTTCCTGGGAAATACAGATACTGCATTTTGCACCCATATTGACCGTAGTTTCCAAATTTGTTCAGTGAACATCTAAGTTGGATTTAATACTAAAGAGAGCATATGAATGGATCTCGTAATGGAATGGCAAGGGTCCCAAATCAAGCAAATATAGACGAAAAATAACAAGGGAAAGATAAATACACAAATCATCCGCGCCTGTTAGGGTGAATGAAATCATTATTATTAACATAATACAGTAAATAGAAACAAAAAACATTTGCAAAAATGAAAACCAAATTTTATTTTAGAAAATGTTAGAAAATGAACTCTATAAATAAAGTTATAATAATAATTATTGAAGAACATCATCATTGTTAGTTGGAGTACGTACGATAAATGGTTTCCGCCAAAAAAAAAAACAAAAAACAAATAAGGTGCCTCAAAAATTCGAATTATTATACAATCCAATTTATCATTTAAGACATTATTATTTAAAAAGAATCAACGCAAGTAGTGGAATGAAGGAAATATAAAGATCATCCTTTTTCACACCACTTTGTCATCTTGTTGAGACGTATCGTCTGCAGTATCCACCTCCATCTCATCTATATTTTGCTGTTCATTCAGAGAGAGTATAGAGTAATCATGGTGTTTATTATAGTATCTTTTCTTGAGTTCTTCTAAAATTTCTCTGCCTTTTTCCCATTCTCCCTCAAATATCTGGATTCGTAATTCATCATACTTTTTTCTTTCACCTTTCTGAATAGATTCGGTTGCATCTTGCAGAGTGAATTGGTTTTTATTTTTCATATTCTTTTCATTGTCACTATATAGTGTCCTGTCTATAACAATTAGAAGGCGAGATAAATTCTCTGGACAGTTTTCACCCGTAATTCCTGTATTATAAAACCATTTGTAAAACTCTTTTCTAACATAATTTCTAGTGTCTGGAGAATGGGTTTTCTTAATCATTCCCGTGAAAATCAATAATCGAGTCCCGAATAGGTCTTTATAATCCCAAGCGGGTCCACTCTCATCTTTAATCCCTTTATTAAAGATCTGTCTTTTATTACGAAAATGAGGATCTTTCTTTTCAATATAAACTTCAAGTGCTTCTAACGTAAGGCCAAGACCATCCAATAACAATCGTATTTCATAGATTGTAGAAGCAATCGGTTCTTGTATTTGGTATTTACCCATTTTATCAGATAACCCTGCTTGAATTGCGATGCAGTTTGGCTCACAGAAAATTCTGTACAAAGCTTTGTCTTATATAATTCTAAAAACACTTCCATAAACGCCTAGTATAGTTTATTGGCAATCGAGAAATAATCTAAGGTGACAATAAGCATTGTGTCAGCTTGCATTACAACATGCGATAATAAGAAAAAATTTTTTGTTTCAAATATTTAAATAAGAGTGTAATGCATGAAAAAACATCGTATGATAAAGTGCCGAATAGTTAAATTACTGTATTGATAAATAATCACACGTCGAATTTTTACCCGAAATCATGGAAGTTCACGTGAGAAAAGTTTGCCATCAAACTTAGCAAAGAACCCAAAATCCTTAGAGAAGGTCGATAAATCTTTCGTAGCACTAATCCAAGTGAGTGATTCCAGTTGTACACAACCAGTTGGACGTATATTCGTTACGGAAAGTAACGCCCCTACTATTTCGTAAAAATCGGCGTTACTTTCCGTGGATCAATCACGTTATAAACGCTCGTTATGATCACCAGACCTAGTCCAATTGGAGCAAATTCAAAGACTAAAACCAAAGGCCTACGGAATCATCTGATAAAAGTATATATTGTATATTATAGTTTTTACATTTTATTATAAAGGCTATCTAATAAATGTATAAGTCTTAGAAAATACAAAATATTTTAAACAAATTTAAATTATATTAATGAATTAAATTACTTATATAAGAAAAAAAAAATTTTTTTTTAACTATTGAGACAATCT